ACCTATAGAGCGAAATATATTAGTATCCTCGATAATTATATCTCCAAGCGAAGAGGGCAGCTGTTCACTCTTGAACCATTTGAAAATAAATTTGTCCCCCTTCTCTTCCCAGCCAAAACCAGTCGGATATAATTCTGTTGGGACCTGATGAGCGTGTGCCCATATATTTACCATGTACGTTTTTCGCAGCAAATGTTGGTGCAGTTCAATTTTATGTTATAAGTATTTAAATGTGAATATTTGTTTATTAAAACTCGTGAAATCGTTTATTCTAAATAAATATTCGAAAAAAGTTGTATATTTTTATATAATTACTAGTAGACTTGAAAAATGAAAAAAAATTATAGATATCTCCTACCGCAAAAGCTGAAATTTGGTATTACAATAGCTAACTTAATAAGTTAAATGGAAAAAATGCTCAGCTGATAAAGTTAAAGATGCAATGCGCCTGCGTGCATAGCAATGTGCTGCACCTTCACCTCGTCAGCTGAGCACTTATACAGCGCAAAAACTTCGGCGGACAATTTTTTTCGTATCACTGATTAAGATGACTATTTGATTACGAAATGTCATGTTATTCAGTATCAGTTTACCTAGCGCATATTTTTGACTTGTTTAAGTGAAAAGCTGAGGCATAACCCCCCACTCTAAAGTCAGCTGATTGCGTGTTTTCTTTTGTTTATAACATAATTAACTTTTCGACAGTCGTCTGTTACGGAGTCTAAAAAATATTCATGTAAGCTGTAATAACGTTTCGAACAACGCAACGGAACAAAGATATATCAAGCGCGAATTTTGACCTACCATAATATTCGGTCATTATCATAGCTTTTAATGCGTTTTTAATCGGTAGTGAACGACAATAAATTTTTATCTAGACACATGAATGAATAAGATATATGTTTACATCACACTTATTGGTCTAAATGCCTCCATTTTTGCCTATATTTTGATTAAGTTTTTTTTAGTACATAATCAAGATGCTCCCACCATCTGAGATTTATTATCAAAGTACAATCCTAAAAATTTGATAAACTTGATGGGGGTTATTTATGTATCACTAATTTAGAATTTTTATAATTGAATTATGATACATTCGGTCTTTGTTAACTATTAATCCATTTTATCGCAGCAATTCACAAAACACCAAACGAGATCTTTAGTAAATATAGAAGGGGGAAATTTCTACATCACTGAATTGTTCGTAATTTTAATGATTTAAAATTGTATTTGTAACAAAACATTTAAATACTTTTTTTGTCAAACGAATAGTTCTAGAATCATTTTCGATTTATCCCGACTATAAACTCATTTTAGGCTAAAAATAATAATCTGAAAATGATTTGTTTTTCAACTAAAATCAAGCAAAACATGTTTTATAAAACAAAGTACCATCATTCTTGGTTGTTCTATGCGCTCCTAAAGTTTGAAAGATAAAAATTGGGGAACCCTGTATAGTCGATCTAGCAGCCCACAAATATGACAGTTTCTACCATAAAAATTATGTATATTTATTTTATAACAGACCTTTCTATTAATTACATGTTCTACACAATTGAAAATATGGCCATTTAAAATTAATGTATAAGTTTAATATATCACTTGTTGAAGTTATGAACAGTATGTCAACTGTAACATTGTGAGAAACACGGGAAAAGTATGGACATAACTAGGTACCAGTGAATTCTGCAAATATTAGTCCAAAATCACTTGTCAGCCTCCGTTTTGGCAAGGTTCTCGTGTTTCAACCAATGTATTTCAACAATACTATACTAATAATAATATACACACTTGTTGCTCTAAATGCCTCCATTTTTGCCAAAATTTTACACAGTGAACAAAAAGTGATAATTCACACCTGCAAACCATTTCTTGTGGATCAACTGAGGTCTCCTCAAAGACTCTCAATGCTCGGTTGTTAGCAAAGCATTCTGTACATTTGCATTTATGAAGAGCCTTTATGCTTCAACATGTGACGTTCTATAACGCTCCTCTATTTAGTTTCATAATCGCAGCCGTTACACTTGTATGTTTAGACGGGCGAAAGATTTTTATGCATCAGTTGGTGTCGTTTCATAACCATGCTGTATTTACTTCCGTAATTGCAGTCCTAACACCTGTACATTTGACCCAGTGAAAGATCTGTATGTTTCAGTTGGTGTCGTTTGATATTACTCTTGTATTTAGTTTCATAGTTGCAGTCCTTACATCTGTACATTTGAAACTGCACGGGGTTTTTTATGTTGTAGTTGATGCCGTTTGAAATTACCCTTTAATTTAGTTTCGTAATTGCAATCGTTACACCTGTACATTTGAACCTGTGAAGGATCTTTATGTTTCAGTTGGTGCTTTGTGATATTACCCTTGTACTTACTTTCGTAATTGCAGTTCTTACACCTGTACATTTCAACCTGCAAGGGGTTTTTATGTTGCAGTTTATGCTGTTTGAAATTACTCCCTATTTTAGTTTCGTAATTGCAGTCGTTACACCTGTGTACTTGAACCTGCAAAAGCTCTTTATGTTTCAGTTCGTGCCTTTTGATATGATACTTGTATTTAGTTTTGTAATCGCAGACGCGACACCTATAAATTGGAACCTGCGAGCCCTCTTTATGTTGCAATTGATGCTGTTTGATATGACTCTTGTATTTAGTTTCATAGCTGCAGTCGTTACATTTGTACATTTGAACCAGTGAAGGATCTTTATGTTTCAGTAGGTGCGTTTTGACAGCATTTTTGTATTTACTTTCGTAATCACAGTCGCTACACTTGTACATTTGAACCTGCGAGGGCTCTTTATGTTTCAGTTGGTGCTTTTTGATATTACCCTTTAATTCAGTTTCGTAATTGCACTCATTACACCTATACATTTGAACCTGCCAGGGGTTTTTATGTTGCAGTTGATGCTGTTTGAAATTACTCCCTATTTTAGTTTCGTAATCACAGTCACTACACCTGTAGATTTGAACCTGCAAAGGCTCTTTATGTTTCAGTTCGTGCCTTTTGATATGACTCTTGTATTTAGTTTCGTAGTTGCAGTAGTTACACTTGTACATTTGAACCAGTGAAGGATCTTTATGTTTCAGAAGGTGGCTTTTGATAGCAGTCTTGTATTTACTTTCGTAATCACACTCGCTACACTTGTACATCTGAACCTGCGAGGGCTCTTTATGTTTCAGTTGATGCTTTTTGATATTACCCTTTAATTCAGTTTCGTAGTTGCAGTCGTTACACCTGTACATTTGAACCTGTGAAGGGTCTTTATGTTTCACTTGATGCATTTTAATACTATTCTTGTATTTACTTTCATAATTACAGTCGTTACACCTGTACATTCGAACCTGTGAAGGCTCTTTATGTTTCAGTAGATGCTGTTTGATATTAGCCCTTAATTTGGTTTGGTAATTGCAGTCGTTACACCTGTACATTCGAACCTCTGAAGGCTCTTTATGTTTCAGTTGGTGCTGTTTAATAGCACTCTTGTATTTAGTTTCGTAATCGCAGTCTTTACACTTGTACATTTGAATTTGCAAAGGATCTTTATGTGTCAACAGGTGCCTCTGAAGTAATTTCTCATTTTCAGTTGCGTACTCACACGATTCACATTTATACGCTTCCCAATCGTTCTCGTGTCTCGCAGAGGGTACCGTACAAAGGATCTCACTTTCAGTTTCGTAAATACATTTATCACATTTTGTTTTCACTTCTGATCCATTCTCATGTTTACATCTTTCTCCTTCTTCGTCTTTACAGTAACTCTCTTCGAATGGTACAACATTGGAGCTCTGTGGCGTATCGCTGAAAAAATTTCATATACAGCCTTTTTTTGAAAATCGGGTTTTAATTTTAAGAGGTTACAGGTGGCACATGCCGAAATATTGTCAAAATAGACAATTCAAATATCGAAAATTCCGACAGAGCTAAATTTTGGTGGAGACCTTGGGTACATCATTAGAAATAAAGTGTAAAAAGTCCCCATCGGTCCCATGTGTGCTAAAAAAGTTATTCGGGGTCAAAGGTCAAAATTTGAGGTTTTTTAGATTTTTTTCGAAAACTGTTCTCCTTCAACTACTAGAATCGCGATATCTCAGGAATGGTGATTCTTAGAAAAAAAAAGTATAAGGACCATTTTTATAGATAATTTTCAGATCTACAATTTTTGTCTGGGCTACTTTTTTGATAAAATTTACCGTTATCGCAAAAAAAAATCCAAAAAACCTCAAATTTTGACCTTTGATCCCAAATAATTTGTTTAGCACACATGGGATCGATGGGGACTTTTGACACTTTATTTCTAATGGTGTACCCAAGGTCTCCACCAGAATTTAGCTCTGTCGGAATTTTCGTTATTTGAAATGTCTATTAGTTTATGTTGTTCACCTTATTGCAAATTTTAATAAACCAGTTACAAAAATGAAAGGATAAAAGGAAAATCATAAAATTTTTAGGTGATTTTCAAAAGGCGTAACCAGGAGAAAAACGGTCGCAAAACAATTAAAAAAAAAACAAATTCGTTATCATCTGTCAAAGCAAAAATAACTTTGTGAGTCTGATAATTGGAAACAAATGATCGTACAGAAAATCTAAGCAGTCTTGAAAAGAAAAGGCCGATACCAAGGAGGTATATGACCCGCATTAAATACAAAAATAGGCTCATACATTGTAAACACACAGAAAAATAATCGTTTATCGGAATGATTTCATCTTATTAGGTAAAGTGCTACTATTCCCCTTTTTGAAATGTATTTCTACTCTTTTTTTTGTGTAGACTTAGTTAACAACTCAATTAATAGTAATATTAATATGCCTTTGTTTCTTGAAATATTGAGACATTTTTAACTATTTTTTCTTTTGAAATCATGTTCTTCGCCTATATTATTATCTGGTCATTGTTATTTATAGCCCTGATAAAACATTTTAAATAAAATTGAAACACTGACCTTGTCAGAAATTCAAGGCCCTGATTTCCTTGCCCCATCCCACCCTTATAAACTCTCATTTTATATAAATCAAATTTTTTATAACTAGTCCAACCAAATTACACTTAGAGAAAAAAAATTGTTACCTGGACTTTTATAAGTGAATAATGGTAAAAGGGTTTATAATAAACCAAAAATAAAAAATAAATGCGTGAGCAGGGGTGGCGGAGGGTTGAAAAGTTGTGAAAAATTGTCCAGGTAACAATTTTCTTTTTTTCCCCCTAAATGAGCTATTTCGATCAGTCTAAACGAGCCCACATCATTAATCATCAAATGGTGATGATTAATAAAATAATTACGTGAGGATTCTCAAAAACACAAGGAAAAAAATACAAGAGAAGAAAATCGACTAGNTTATCTGGTCATTGTTATTTGATAATGATAAAACATTTTAAATAAAATTGAATCACTGACCTTGTCAGAAATTCAAGGCCCTGATTTCCTTGCCCTATTCCACCCTTGTAAATTCTCATTTTATATAAATAAAATTTTTTATAACCAGTCCAATCAAATTACACTTGGAGAAAAAATATTGTTACCTGGACTTTTATAAGTCGATAATGGTAAAAGGGTTTATAATAAACCTAAAAAAAATAAATGCGTGAGCAGGGGTGGCGCAGGGTTGAAAAGTTGTGAAAAACTGTCCAGGTAACAATTTTCTTTTTTCCCTCTAAATGAGTTATTTCGATCGGTGTAAACGAGCTCACATCATTAATCATCAAATGGTGATGATTAATAAAATAATTACGTGAGGATTCTCAAAAACACAAGGAAAAAAATACAAGAGAAGAAAATCGACTAGGATGTCGCGTATCCAAAAAAATTAACTATCTCGTAAACGATGCTACAAATAAAAATCTTGCAAGGGTGAAAAAAAAATAGAAGACGCCGCTTTATCTAAAAAAAAAATATTCGGAAAGCAGATATACTCAAAAAAAATAGGGGGTCCACGAGTACTGCAACTCCCTTCCCCATTGTTCGTGCTTTGATATTTTAAACCAAAATTACACAAAATCAATTTTTTTTAATTTTAATTTTGAAACCCTGTATTTTTAAAATGGGTCTCCGAAATAAAAAGTGACATAAGAAAAGTCCCATTATTTTAGTCCAAAGAATATGTGGTTAACAGGTTGACCTACTAATTTGCAACACCCTGTATAATAAAATAAATGCATCCTAAGCAAAAGATAAGACAGTTGACTGCAACCAGAGATACAGTAAAAAAACTAATAATACAAGGCTAGTCATTAGTAACGGTACACAGCTTACAACAGATTGTTGATGTCAAAATATAGCGATTGAGCCAAACATGCCTTAGTCAATTGTTGCTCATTTTCGTTCTACAGGGTGTTAAAGTTGAAAAAATACTTTCGATTTTTTGCTATATTTTAAGTACTTATGGACCGATTGTTTTGAAAATTTGTAGTTTAACGTTTGTTGAAGTGGCAAATATGAATATGTAAACAATTTTGGGGTCGCTAGTTATACAGTTCTATCGATATAAAAATATGTCTTAACTTTTTGTATTTTACAATTTTGAATTTTGTAACTAGAAATTATTGAACTGCGTTCAATTTTAATTAAAAATGGTATACTTGTTAGAAATCGATAAACTCAACCATTTTCGAGATACAGACGTTTTAAGTTTTTGAGATTTGACAGGAATCAATACCTTCAAAGTTGTGTAAAAATTCATTTTCTGTACAAATGACTTAGTATGAGTATACAAATCAGGACAATCTGGCATTCTTCTTGCCATCTGCTTACATAAGCATTAATCATATACCGCCTAGACTGGCTATAGTGCGATTATTATGAAGGCAGTTGGGAGCCTAGTTGGTAACCCTGCATCAGTCGTATCTGGAAACTTGAGCTGTACGTGTGGCTTTGATTTCAATAATTAGTTATTTTTTCATTGGCAAATGTATTGTAGGACATTGTATAAATAGAAGCGAACAAGTTGGTGAAGAGAGTCCTTCTCTAGATAAGTAAAATAAGCAATATATAAAACGTAAATTTGACCCATTATATACGCAATTTCTTGGTTAAGGTCAGAGTATTCCAGGGTTGACAATATAATTTTGTTCGCACACATAGTGCAATGGTAAACGTGATATTACTATAAATTGTTAATAAAATAATGAGTAAATATGTATCATATTTTTAATAATTACTTACTTTACGTAAAAGTCCTCCAATTTATATGAAATTTTTCCAATTCCCGTAATTTTGAGAGAGCTGAAAATTAATGTGATATTATTTTTTGCGATCGAAAAAATAACAAAAAATTAATTTCAAATTCATGTTCAGCACCCTGGAAAAGGAGGGGGTTGGCAAAATTTGATTAGAAAAATCAGAGTTTTATGGTAAAATAAATAATTACCAAATTTTTATACTTGCTTCGATTTTTCGAATATAATATTTTAATTTTTACTGATTTTAAAAAACAAGATTGGATACCATCAAAATTTTCACTTTGAAGAAAATTTTTTAATTTTCAACAAAAATATCAGCAAATTAGCAAAAAATGCAGTTCCCACATTAAATCTACCAGAAATAATAAATAATTATACTTTATATGTATATGCACAGTGTATTCAAGTTTGATCTAGAACACTCCTGTAACATTTGCTTGGACTGTGCATTTGAATGATTTTTTTATGCGTGTAGGACTCTCCCAATACTTAGTGAACATTTTAATGCTCACCACATAATTTTATAAAAATTATCTTCACTAATACTTTTTTATGAACATGAACA